CGGGCCGGGCGGGAGCGGCAGGGGTGCTAGTGCCGAGCAGCCGAAATGGTGGCCCCGGCTTGCCAAGTGCTAGGGGGTGTGAAGCAATGTGAGGTCTGCTCTTATGCCTCAGGCTTTTCTAAAAGATGGGGAGCTGGAAGCACACCGTCCCCCCTCCCCCACCTTTTGTCTTTCCATTCTGCAAATGGAGGTTGAGCGTATCACATTTATCATATGAGATAAAGTGCTCTAAAGCTTAAGAGAAAAATCGGGTGCTATGTGGCCATTTCATAATTTTTTTTTTTTTGACTTGGCAACGTTGTGTGCTATAAAGGTAATGCTGGAAACTTAGAAGCCGAAACTTAATAAGGTCTCAGTTACCTGTTGGGGCCTTAGCGCTTTTGCAAGAATAGGAGGAGCTGAAGTGATGAGAACCGAGGAGCTGAGGTGATGGGAACCGAGGAGCTGAAGCGATGGGATCCAAGGCCACCTGGAGAAGACAACGCCTGTTAGCAACTTTTAATGAATTAGGCCAGCCGTAGCCAGATAAGCGTCCGGGAGGCCCAGCAACAGAGCATCGAGAAGAACACCAGTCAGCTGCAAGCTAGCTATGCATGGACACTATAGCCTAACCAATGGGAATGCTGTTGCTTAGCGCGTGTCTGCATTTACGGGTGTTGGAATTGTAAAAAGCTATGTAGCAGACAATAGTAAAGCGAATCAAAGTGTCACAGTGAAGTGTTGTTCATTCCGTCTCGTGGGGTGGGCCTCGGCAGTTACCTGTCATATGAGCTATTGCAATTTTGGTTGAACATCTTACATCCTAATTAGAAGTGAAATGATAAAATTGCTGTATGTAAGACTCAAAATGACCTTAGATAGTGTATGCTTTCAGTGCTCCCCAAAATAGCAAAAAATAAAATGAGGAGAGAAGGCAGTAAAAGAAATCCTTAGAATGAATTTGATCAGACATTGCTACTTTCTGCTTGGCTATAGGGCAATACATCAGGATAACCCGACTGGCTGCAAACATCCTTTTATACAAAACAAAGGTGTCTATACATAATGGAAAGTAAGCGTTGATGTTACAAGAATTAGGAATCAACAAATCAGTTGGCAAGTAGGCATTTCATCAAGAAGTGGATCCCTTTTATGCGAACACAAATGAATCTGTACCTTAAGCTAGGCCAACTGAGCTGATGGGCGGTTGAGAATTTTATAATTTAGGCTGGTGAATATGCAAGTGGCTGTTGGGAATTTCACCTGGATTCGTGAGCTGGCAGCTGGGATCGATCCAGTGCTCACACAAGGTGCTCAATAACCCTCACTTGAAGCACTGAGGGGGAACTTCCAGCTCGTTCCTGGCTACGACAGGGGTGCTGCAGCAGTGAAATACCTTCTAACAGCAGGGCACGTGGCTGCCGCTCCGCTGAAGTTGTCAGCCAGCGCTCCTCATTAGCTTTCAACTCCCATTCTACGGAAGCATCTTCCACTTTCTCTAATGAATCTGTCTAGACCCTATGTATGGTAGCTCGCATTTCAGAAGTGCTGGGGACTGCGGTTAATGGAGCTAGGGCCCACAGGACCTTGAGAAAGACTCTTCAACTGTGCACTTAGTTGGTGCCTTCGTAGTGAGCCAGATCCTCCGCGAGTGCACAGACACGGTCACCTGCTGCAGCTGAGCAGCTACAGGAAGAAAATTGTGGTCCATTATTCACATCCATCCCAAGGATCACTACCTGCTATACCGTGCAGTATTGTTCTTACAGAAATGTAGATACAAGTGGGTATTTATTTATTTATTTTCCTCAGAACTTTTTCAGGTGTTTGACAAAAAACAAGAGTGAGAATTGCACATATAATGCATTTCAAGTAGCACATATATTCTCAACCGTGTATGCGGATCATGTCATCTGCAATGAACCCTTACCCTGTTTGATTATTAAAAAAATGAATAAAAATATGATTCAGCTTCATTTGGCTCCTGTAGTTGAAGCCCTTATATGAATATGCCAAGAATAAAAATGTAGTCGCATGTTTCATTCAGCCTTCTGTGGATTGATACGTCGTATGCAGCTGTCATCCGAGTGAAGATGTCCTGTGGTGATACAGACTGCATTAGCCGAGAGGATGCCTAAACCGTAATTGCTTTTAAAGCCACATAACTTCAGTATGAAATCAGTTTTTATAATTAGATGCCCCATATTTTGACAGGACTATCTTCCCTAAACATTGGCATTATTCGTGTTTTTCTTTCTCCGTGATTACCTCCTCTTTGTTTAAGGCTGCCAGCAGTATTTCAAGAGATCACCTGAATACAAATTTGCACTTAATTTTTCTCAGTGAGAATTTATATTGTCACAGACATCTGGGAATTTAAATCTGTTTATCCCAAGCAGTCTTTTTAATTTACATAACGTTTTTATTGTGATCAATGTTTTCTTGCACAACTATAGATTTATAACAGCTGCTTACTGTCTAGTAGCTATTCTTCCTTAATTAACATTGCTTCTCTATTTTTCTTTACATCTGTAACACTCTTGAATTAGCCAGATATTTTCCTACTAGAGATTAAAATGAGCATCATTTACTCTCTTCTGTTAAATTAAAATTCTAAATTATTAAAATTAAAACCCCTACAAGATGTAGATGTAATAGCAAAGAGATGTAAAGGAAAGAAGAAAAAAAAAGCTGTAACAAAGTTAAGATACTAGTATTTTCCTTAGACATTTAAAATAAAAGCAACATAGAGCCTTAAAAAGAATAATCAGGATGGGATTAGAAATAAAATGAATGTTTTCAGCTTCATAAATGCTAAGAAACAATCAGTGTAACGGGCTCAGAGGCTGCTATAGATATCCAGGGCACCACACAAGTATTTAATTATTGACATTCAATAAGACACTGTAGTGCTAGAAGTTTGAGTTGCAAGGATCAGTGATGCCTGATTAAGTTTGCTGTCTAAACAAAAAACAACATCAGCAATGGTGATGCCTGATTAAGTTTGCTTAATCTTTTGTCTAAACAAAAGTTTGCTTAATGCTTTTGTCTAAACAAAAAACAACATCAGCAATTTCAGATACAAAACAGTTGTGCAGTGGCTTGTTGAGACTATCCAAAAACTCTAAAACATATCAGAGTGCTTTTTATCTCTTAGGCAAAATTGGTTTGGGTAATTTTCAATAATATACAAAAAAGGAATGTATGTATCTTCAAAACTAAATAAGAAATATGTACTTAAAATGTCAAAAAATCTTGATTAGAAATCACGTATCTTGCTTTTCTAGCACCAAGTGAGATAGTGCTGTTTTATTTAAATCCATTTGTTTTGTTTGCTTCCAGAAATGTGTAGTGCTCTAAATATGTACACAGAAATCAGTGCACAACTTGCATACCAGATCTAATTAATGAAATCTTTGCAGTGTTCAGGTCTGCTACAACATGCATTACAAACAAGCAAAACCAGTGTCTCTAGGCAGACACAAGATTATGCCATTATAGGCTATCAGGGTGCCTAGAAACAATTTCACAGTATGCACTAATATACCAGCCGTTTTTCAAAAGACTGTGACTGGAGTTAATTAGAAATATTTTGAACCACAGAACTAGACACAGTTCTGATTACCATTGTGAAATAACTCTTTTAAAAAAGATCTTTACACTTCTTTAAATAGTGCTTTATTATTATTGTTATTATGCACATCTGCAAAGCTGCCTGGTTACTAATGAATCAATATTCCCTCTTACTGTTAGGACTCCATTAATTGAACTGGGGCTAGAGAGGAAAAAGGAGGTTCATCTAGTCAGCCTTCCCACTGTCTCCAAAGCAGAAAGGCATCAGGGCCTGGAAAGCTGTTGAACAGTCTCCTTTGGCAATCCTGATCATCTGTGAGGAAATGTTCAGTCATATCCCACAAACCAAACTAGCATGCTTCCAATAATCTAGTATTTGCAGATTTTCTAAATAAAAAAAAGTCTCAATGGTAGTAGTATGTGTCTAGGATTTTCAGGTTGGGTCTAGAGGGTGCAGAGACACCGGAGATGCTGCTGGGAGGCTGCAGAAGGCAGCATCGTTTCCCTGCAGACCTGTTTGCCACAGCAGGAACCTCCCTGTCTGTGCCTGGCTGCGCTGTTGCTTCCTTGCGGAAAACCGAACAGGTCAGGCACGGCTTAACCTAACAGTCCCTGAAGTCAATTTTAAG